AATTTAAATTTTTGCTAATTAATTAACAAAAATATTTAAAAATCGAGTTAAATCAATTTTCGTTTTTTCCCATTATTCCTTTTGATATTCCCTCTTCAGCAGCGCTGTTTGAGGGCTTCGCCCGAACCCCATCCCAACGGGGGGAGGCGAAACGCTGCCGAAATTTTAGTAAATTCCCCAAATTTTATTTATACCCCTAAAAATCATCAAACTCGGCGGACTTATATATGTATTGATCCTTAATATATATAAACTAAGAAAGAAATTTTATCTTAACTAAATACATCTTCTTTAATTTATAATAAAAAAATACAAAAGAATTCTCTAGAAGAAGAAGGGAAAGAGACGCTGCAGTAACCTGGTTTCGGGTGAACCTACTAGCTTGTTCTCGAAGGCGTGAGGCAAGCGACGAGAATTTTCAGTTATTAATCTACACCTCCCTCTTGCTGCGTTCTTTCTAGCTGCCAGTTGAATGTGGCCGCGGGTGCAAGTAGAGGTCTATGGGGCTACCATTGACTGGGACTTGGAGCCCCCTGAACTCATAGAGGGGGATCTCGTGGAGCTCACGATCCGCGGGCGTAACATTCGACACGTTGACGGCCAGTTTGCGTGGAGGTCCATAATCCTGTCCGAGGACCTGTGGCTTTGGACGTACAGAGAGCACCGGTCGGGGCAAGGAGTGGGCATAGTGAGAGCCTACTTGTATTTGGGACCGGGTGCGGTCAGGGAGGCCGTGGTGGGCCTCGCGACGACAGGGACTAGTGGCACAGTTAGCAGGGCGTTACGCTACCTAGGGGAAGAGGTAGCTGCCTTCCGAGCGGAGGACTCGAGCGACCCGTTGACCCTATTTCACGGACGCCCTCCTCTTGATATCATGGGCGAGCTGGTGGTAGCACGGGACGGGTTTTTCCCGTATAGCGTTAGGAGCCTGCGGGCGATAGTTCCTACGTTCGTAGTAGAGGGCGACTTTGGATGGCAGTAGGAGGACCTTTAGCGGGCTAACCGATTCAGGACAGGGATAGGAGAACTAGCAAGGAGGACAGAGATAGACGCTCGGAGACTCTTGAGGGGTGTTGATCAGGAGACATTGGCTAGGTTTGGGACTGCGATCTGTCTCAAGGATAGAGGTCCTGTCACGGGTGCACTGCAGATCCGGAGAGGCACGGCCTTGTTGGCCGATCCCGAAGGAGAGGTTTACTTAGACACAGGGATTCTTGGGATAGAGGGAGAGCACGAGATCTGCGACCGGTACGGGATACTGGAAGTGGTAATCAAGGCAGTCGAGAGCTAAGATTGGAGGCGGACGCGAGCCGTGACAAAGAAACAGTTCCAGGCTGCTGCAACTGTCACAGGTCCGGGCTGCAGCGACTGTCATAGGGTCGGGCTGTAAAAGTTGGCTAGAATACCTAACTGCGTCTTCTGGCGGTCCAATGGAACCCGACACGATGGGGCTACAACCGACCACGGGTGAAGCGGGAGAGGAGTACAGGACATTGCCCGATCGAGCTCTAAGGGATCTAAAGGAACGAATTAGGCGAGAAGCACCGCTGAGATGGGCTGACCAAACCAATGACGGAGGGCCCGACGTAAGGGGCGAACCAGTTGTGACAGAGCCGCAGGAGGCTCTAAAGACGGGTACCTCGAGCGGACGACGAGAAGCGACGAGGCGACGCTCCCCCGAGTACGAGCGGAGGGACACCATAGCGGACAGGCACAAAGACGACTGGAGAGAGAATTTGAGGAATTTATATTGGAGGGACAGAGATAGAGACAGGGCGCCGCCTAGGCGAGTCTTCGACCCCCAGACAGGGGAGTCACATCCGCTCCCTAACGAGAGCAAGGATCGCTATATTATTACGCACAAGGCCTCAGAGCCTCCTACCTTCAGGGGCTATAGTATCACAAAATATCTGGAGAAGTGGGAGTTTCACGCCAGCCGGAGTCAGTGGTCGGAGGAAGAGATTATAGAGAACTTCCTATTTAATGTGGACCAAAGTCTCGGTAGGGAAGTTAAGGAAGCTCGACCGAAGGATGGGAAATGGGYTACGTACAAGAAGAACCTCGTTGAGCTTTACCAATTGGAGGATAACAAGTATTCCATCAAGGACCTTGAAACAATGACTCAAGATGAACATGAGAGCGTACGGGCATTTGGGATGCGTTTCCAGAAGATCTCCGACGTGCTGATGAAGAAGGGGAAGATGTCAAAAGTCGAGCGTTGTACTATCTTCATCGGACACTTGTCCAAAGGTAGGCAAAAGAGTATACTTAGAGATCTTCCGCGCGACAGGCTTGATTTCCCAGAAGTCCTAAAGCTCGCGATAAAGACAGAGGCAGACGATTACAAGGACTTGGTATGGAGAGGGATGAGGAGACGTGACTTCTCTCTCTACAAGGAGTATGTCACTGATAGATGTCCTGATTTCAAGAACTATCCCTGGTCGGAGAAGAATAAGGCTGTGGCTGAGGAAGTGAAGGAGATACGGGACATGGTGAAGGGATTAACGAGAGAGGTTACAAAGATTGTGACCACTACAGGGGCCACGGCCTACCGGGACAAACTTGAAGCGCCTTATTCACTTCGCTGGGACCGTAGGAACAACGATTCTTGGAGGAGTGTCGAGGATAGAAATCCTCGGACGCTGACTGATTATCGTACGAGGGGAAGAGAGAGAGACGATGAGCCATGACGACGTAGGGATGATGAGATAGACCGAGACCGCAGAGATCGCAAGCCGTTTGCGCGAGCAAGGAGGCTGAATGATTACCCGCGAAGCCCTCGCTATGAGGCCGATCGGGGTAGACGTGACTCCCGCGGCCGATGGGAGACAGATCAGGGCTGACGAGATGGATATAGGGACGACAGAGAGGTCGGGTCGAGATGGCTACAGAGGTGGTAGGTATGAAAGAGGAGATCGGGACTGGAAACGACGAGATGGGTCGCGCGGACGGTTTGAGCGCGGGGGAGATGCGAGAGAGCAGCGCGACGAGTCGCGCAGGTGGTACAACCGAGGGGACCGACGCGATGAGTCACGTGGGCGATATGACTCGGGGGACCGCCGGAATGATTCGCGAGGGCGGTATGAGCAAGGAGGGTCTGGAGGAGACCGCCGCAACGATTCGCGCGGTCGGAATGAGAGAGGGGGATATGGCATCTCATCAGAACCATATCCCAAGTCGCCTGACCCCAAGGCAGCCAGGAGTTCGATCTCTAGAAGCGCAAACGACAGGCCATCTACTCCCAGGAACTCATGCGTCTACTGTAGAGGAGAAGATCATATCAAGAGGGATTGCCCGGACCTCAAACGGGCAATAGATGAGGGACTTGTCGTGTTTGACGAYCGCAAGTACGTCAAGTGGGCAGATGGTCTGGGAGATGCATCGATGTTCCCTTCGATGAAGGAGAATGTCGAAGCAAGGAGAGTAAAGCCGAGTAAAGAAAAGGAGCCGATCAAGAGCCAGAGCATCAAGATAACCTTTGAGGGGGATATGGCGACCACACCCATAAGGGTGGCAGACTGGCAGCCACCAAGTCGGCGAGAGGGTCTACATCGAAGAAGACTGATACGGATTACGTGATGGCGGAGAAGGACGGACAGCGGGTCGATGGAGAGGAGGTTATCCTTTCGCCGCGAAAGAGGGGAGTGAAGAAGTTCTTAATGAAGAGTTCGCTGGACGAGATTGACACTGTCGAGCCACTGAGGCGGGCCCTTCGGCAACCCATGCAGTGCTCTATTCTGGAGTACCTGGCGGCATCGAAGCCGGCTCGTGATGAGTTACAGATGATCACGCGGAAGACTCGCATACCTCTATCGGAGGAGGGTCAGAGAGCCCCTGAGGCGGAAGCTTCTACAGTAGCAGTAACGGGGGTGACTGC